GCTTTTTGTTTCATTGATTCTTTGGATAATTTTATTTGTTTCTAATTGATTGATTTCTGCCCTTAGTTTGATTATTTCCAGCCGTCTGCTCCTCTTGGGTGTATCTGCTTCTTTTTTTTCTAGGTTTTTCAGTTGGGCCATTAAGTTGTTTGTATGTGATGTTACGGATTTCTTCTTGTAGGCACTTAGTGCTATAAATTTTCCTCTGAGCACTGCTTTCAATGTGTCCCATAAATTTGGGTATGTTGTGCCTTCATTTTCATTGAATTCTAGAAAGTCTTTAATTTCTTTCTTTATTTCTTCCTTGACCCAGCTGTCATTGAGTAGTAAGTTGTTCAGTTTCCATGTGCGTGTCGGCTTTTTGTTGTTTCTGTTGTTGTTGATGTCCAGCTTTAGTCCATGGTGGTCAGATAGTATACAAGGGATTATTTCGATCCTTTTCTCCCCCTATACTCTTTCCCTAGTCTCTGATAAGGTGGAACCTCCCCGCCTTCTATCTGTCCTTAGCCTATCAGGTCTCATCAAGTCTTGATGAGAAATTGAAGTTTTAAAGCAAACCCCAAATCATTTCTCCTTTCTCTTTTCCCAGTTTTGTAGTGGTTGGAAATTCCATTTTCTTGTTTTTCCTTAGAATTAAAGTCATTATCATCATTACATATTTTTATAATATACAGTATATATCTTTTTTAATTTATTGTATTTTTTATAATTAGTTATATTTTATTAACTCAGTATTCCAGCTGTATCCCGCTCCCTCATTCCCTCCCAATCCCACCCTCTCTTCCTCATCTCCTCCCTGCCCCTTTCCAAGTCCACTGATTGGGGAGGACCTCCTATCCTTTTGTCTGACCCCGTTTTATCAGGTATCTTTAGGACTGGCTGCAAAGTTCTCCTCTGTGACCTAACAGGACTGCTTCTCTCTAGAACCTCTGCTCAGATGTAGCCCGTGGTAGCTCAGTAACTAATCGTTTTTCCATATTAAGGGGAACAGGGACTATTTCTGACAGGAAATCAATGGCAGTATATATCTTAAGGTGGTATTTCTAAACATTATATTGTACAAGATTTACAAATATCAATGGTTTTTATTTATTTTATTTATTTTTTATTCTGCAAATATAGTTATATTGGGGAATAGAGAAACAACAAACAACTTCAGAACTTTCTTTTTAAGAAACAGTCCTGGCTATGTACTAATTTAAACATGGAAGAAAGAATTTAATATACAAGACAAAACCTATCAAAATATTTCAATACCATCCCTCAATCGCTCAATAGAAGGATCAATAGTTCTTAACCAACAGCTTTGAATGAACACGAGTCATCATATTTCACTTACTAAACGTTACCTTAATAATTTTAACAGGCTCTTTCAATGCATCAATACATTCAATTAACATTATCCATATATTACTAGTAAAATATCTCCACGAATGAGGGACAGAATAATTGGAAGAATATGATAACTGCAGTTAAGCATTCCAGGTATAAAGATGCAAAGCATTCTAGTCTCTCTACTCTTGCCTTGAAAGCATTTTAATACTCTCTTTAATACCCTTTGAGTGATTTGTTTTAGAGTCTACGTTTCCTTAAACAATTATTAGATAATACATTGTCAGAGGGACCGACTATGTGGCTGTTTCAGCGGAAATAATAAACTAAATGAATATCATAATGTATTACTATTTACTTTTTAATTATTATGTTCTAAGTTGGAGGGCTTCACTTCCGCAATTATTTTTTGGACTTAGATAGGAAGCTATGTTTGTCCATATTACATTTAAAATTCTATACATGTTTTCCATTACTCTTATAAATTTAGTTAACAAGTATAGTATAACTATCCTTATATGAAAACTACTGTGAACAACTGCAATGGAGTAGTTATAACTTCTACATTGTTATAGGAGTGAGGGACTTCCATGCCATATCTAAAACTTTTCTCTGGTCAAACACCTTTAATTCTTTCTTTTCCTTTTAACTATGCACAACTAAAATTGCACTTTAAGGTAATTTTCAGTCTCTTTTGGGTGGTGAACAATATGCACTTTACAATTGACTTATAATTGGGCTGTGCTGACAGTGGAAAATCTTACAAGTATTGAACATGACAGTTATGACAGTATTGCTGTCATCTTGGCTTCTTTTATTGAAAATGCAGAGAATTATAATTGGGCTAACAAGCCTGGTAGCCTGGCCTCTTTCCAATTATACTAACCAGGCTGGTCTAGTATTAGCTGCCTGAACAACCCATCGAAACAGACATTTGTTTTCTTTTCTATTTTATTTGGGTATTTTCCCAAGAACCTAAGAAATAAATCCTCTGTGCCTTTATGTAATGAGAAATGTTGTTAATTTAATTCTACCAAGAATTATAAACCTTTATTTATATATAAAGTTTATTTTCTTAATTGTAGCAAAATTATTTCTTATAACAAAATGTTACTTTTACATTGTAGATGCTCATTTTCTCAATAATTTCTGATTTGGGGATATCACTTTATTTGAATTCATTCCAAAGTGATGATTTTGCATTTTAAGTAAAATTTATCTTCTCATAACCTAATTGATTGATGCATATATGTGATATATATATATATAGATAGATAGATAGATAGATAGATAGATAGATAGATAGATAGATAGATATTGTGTTGATATTATTGCATTGATATTGTGTTGGATTTATCATGTCCCTCTGGCAGGACTGCCTTACCAGACCTGGGTAAGAAGACACAGTCCTGATGCAACTTGATAATCTGGAAAGGGAGCTCCCCTTTTCTGAGGAAAAAGGGAGGGGTGGGGAAGAGTGAGGGGTGGGGCTGGAAGAAGAGGAGGGATGATGCTACAAGGATGCAAACTGAATTAAAAATAAGTAATTAAGAAGTTGAGCAAAGACTTGGGTCATTCTATAGCATATAAAAGTACTTGGGAATATTTTAAAGTGAATTCCCAGCATATGAAACGAGAATGCCTTCCATAAATCTGTTTCAGAAGCATGTCTTCTTACATATGACATTCATAATATTATTTGAAGATGAGTAGCCACAGAACAAAAGTTAGGGGGCTCATAATTTCCATGTTTAAGTTTTTTATTCCCTTAACAGATAGTATTAACATGAATTGTAAAATTTTCTCATTGAATTGTGATGCTTTGTTAAAAAAAAAAAAGAAAAAAAGGACATTGTATAAAAATGACAGAAAACAAGAATCCTTTGGTAATAAAATGCAAAAAAGGAGAAAAAAGAATTTAAGCAAAATTTTATCATAACATAAAATATTAAATGTTTAATTTTAAATATAAAGAAAATGTAATCAGATGGCAATATTCTTTAGTTATCATAATTTAACAATGTACTAAAATCAAACCAATGAGTTAAAACCCAGTTTGTTATTGAAAATAAATTGTAAGAAATGCTGGTATCTCCTTATTTTCCAACCTATGAATTTAAGATTGAATCTTTGCTAGTTATTTTATGTATGAAAATAAACCTAGAATTTGTCCTATGAAAGTAAAATGTTGCTACTTTTACATATGTATCTCTTTTGTAGTATATCTAAAACTTTTTAAATTAACTAATTTTTAAAATTTTTTATACTTATATTTATTATTTATATATTTTTATATTCACTTTGTATCCCAGCTGTAGCCCCATCCCTCATTCCCTCCCAATCCCACTCTCCCTCCCTCATCTCCTATGCCTATCTCAAAGTCCACTGATAGGGGAATTAACTAATTTATTTATTTATTACAATTTATTCACTTTGTATCCCTGCTGTAGCCCCCTCCTTCTTCTCCCTCTATGCCCTTTCCCTAGTCCACTGACAGGTAAAGTCCTTTTCCCTTTCTAGCTGATCCTAGCCTGTCAGGTCTCATCAGGGCTGGCTGTATCATCTTCCTCTGTGGCCTGGCCAGGCTGCACAACCCCCGGAGGGGGGGGGGGGGGCTATCAAAGAGCCAGCCAGAGAACCTAGACCTCCTGCTCAGAGGAAGCCCATTGGCTGTTCAGTTTACAAGTGGGTTCCCTAATAAGGACGGCAGCATCTGTCTCTGAGTAGATCTAAAAGTTAATGCTCAGAAATGGTCTATTCACTGAACTGGAGACCATGTTTTTTCAAATCAGAAAACCACTGCTTCCTTTCACATTAATGGACAGTACAAATTCACCCTTCCTCTTTAAATATCCATTTCTGAGTCACATCTCAGAAATTAAAATAATGGAATTTTCAAGTTTCACAGTTATGCAGACAACCAGCTGCCCGGATGAGTTGCACACGATGAATAATGTGAGGTGGACTGTTGTCAAGTGTGCACTGGCAGTTTAACTCCTGCCTGAGGTTTTTAAGTCCCATCAGGGCAACGCAACCTCTTAGAAACAATTTTTAACATTGGAATTAACACATAGTTACATTATTTCCTCATTTCCCTCCTCTTCTCCCTCCCCCTCAAGTGAGTCCTGCCACTTTGCTCCACCTCAAATGCATGTTCTCTTTCTCATTAATTGTAATTTTTACATATACACACTTATACACAAACACCACTTCCTTGATCTGTTTAATGCATATGATTTCAGGATGACCAATTTCATTGAATAACCAGTTATGGGACTCCTGGCCTATCCCTCTGGAAGACTATTTTTACCACTCTTAGTAGTCCTTAGCTCCCTATAGTTCTTTTCTATAAGTATGACGAAATGCGCGTTCTTCTTTCCATTTTATCATGTCTGTTTTGTTAAACTGGTTCAGGTTTCTTTAGGCAGCCATATTGTTAAATTGTCATGTGTGAAACTCCCAGCCATCCATGGATTTTTCATCTTCCAACACCTATTATGTCTCCTCTTCTGAAATGTTCTATGAATCTTGATGCAATTCTGATGTAGACCTAACAACTGGGGTTGAATACTCAATGGTCAGTTACTCTTGACATTTTGAGCAACTGTGATTTTCTGTAATGATTTGTGTTGCAATTTTAAGTCACAAATTCTGAGACTAAAGTAATAATGTTTGTTCTTGCAGCACAGTTACTTAATAAGGTAATTAGAGCTGTACAAGTTCAAATCTCTACATTGGCAATGCATGGACAAGCAACGGATGTCTTCTGTAATATGTTCAGCATATGACTGTAGTAAAGAAAGTGCTCAAATTACACACTTGTGAATTACTCTTGATGAGTAGTCTGCTTGTTGTTAAACAGCAATAAATATGTGTAAGCCTTTTTATGAGTATTCTTTAAACAATATTTAAATAAAGTATAAGATTAAAAGTATAGATAAAGAAAGACAGTTACTCCTTAAAGGAATTTGGTGACTTGTGCTTGGAATTTCCACAAGGCTCCTTTCTCTCTCATGATTATTCAAGAATTGTAATCCTATACTAACAATATATAACAATTAAGTTTCTTTTTCATATTACATAGTCTTTCACAAAACTGACTAATGATAAGAACATCTCTGTCTTTTCTCCCTGCGGTCTGCCTCACATCTAATGTGTTTCTCTCTTCCTCTTGTGCATCCTTTCCTTGGCACCAGCGGCTGCTTCAAAAAGTAAAGTCAAAGGTGAGCTTTAGCACTTTCTGCATGATGGCGAATGTTCCTATTTCTGCTCTATCTTCTATTGTCTTTTTAATGATGAAAACACTTCTGTTGGTGATAGTATTCTTTTGCTTAGTGGATTGTTATACATTTCTACAAACATAAACACTTCATTTAAGGATTTAGTTTCTGATGCATGTCTGTGTTTGCATGGTTGTTAGAGCATTTTCTTTTCTTACATTATTTTATGGATTCAAGTACTTTGGTTCAGTAACATTTGATTTGATAAATTTTTGTTTCCTTGATAAAATTGAGAAGTAGGTGAAATATACCATAGAATAACATTAATAGAATTTTGAAAATAATAGTGTGTGACTTCACAGACTTAAGTTAAAAGGGAGTATTCTAAAAATTATGTGGTATTAACTCTGGGGTTCTATTTATTAGTTTTCTTTTATTTTATGACTGCATTAAGTTTCCATCTAAGATATGTATGAAATACAATATTGTACGCTAGATACAATTAGTCAATAGCTAAAATTTTTCCTTGAAAGAACAAAGAAAATAAATGAGTTAATATTTTCAGTCATTAATGAGTTTGAAAGAGGCCACATATGTGAATCATAGAAGAGAATGAATATTATATGTATCTTTTTTATTTTAATATTTTCCAGAATAATCTATAATATCTAAAATGCTGTATGGTCCATGCCAGAGTGCTTCTCTCGCAGGCACAACGCCCTCCATCCAATTCCAAGTATACATACACAGCAAAGCGAATCAAACAAAAAACTTTTACTTTCTTAAATGTTCAAACTAGTTTATCTAAATTTTGTATTTGGGTTCTAATTCTCTAGTGTAGCCGATAGGTGTAACGCTATAATACCTGTTTCTATGTCTTAGATCAATTTATTTTTGCAACTATTTTTCTAAACACTCATTTGTTTATGGAATCCTATAAATATGAAAGGCAAAGGATTGTATATCTTGTCACCTAAGACTTGGCCTACTTTCTTGTCCCAATGAATGTGGCAGAATAATTAATGGTGTTACCTACGTGGTTTTCTGGTGTGTTGGTTAATAATAACAACAAACGTTCACAATTTAATAAAGAAAATGTTTGAAACTATTTTATGTTTATATATTTATTAACATGATGCATTTATGTAACAAAAGGCTGCAAAGAGTGGGTTTTAAGAATGAGTTACAAAAGGAATTATGGAAATGTGTTAATTGTATAGCATTGCACATAAGTATAGGTAGTGTTGGTTATTGAGAATTCTGTTTAGTCCTGTACCCCATTTTCAAATTAGATTGTTTGGTTAGATGGTGTTTACTTTCTTGAATTCTTTATATATTCTGGATATTAGGCCTCTATTGAATGTAGGGTTGATGAAGATATTTTCCAGTCTGTAGGCTGTCGTTTTGTTCTGTTGACACTGTCCTTTGCTTTATGAAAGCTTTTCAGTTTCAAGAGGTCCCATTTATTAATTGTTGATCTTAGAGCTTGTGCTGTTGTTGTTCTGTTCAGGAAGTTGTCTTCTGTGCCAATGAGATCAAGGCTCTTACCCAATTTTTCTTCTAACAGCTTCAGTGTGTCTGGTTTTATATTGAGGTCTTTGATTCACTTGGATATTAGCTTAGTGCTGGGTGTTAAATATGGGTCTATTTGCATTTTTGTACATGTAGACATCCAGTTAGATCAGGACCATTTGTTGAAGATGCTATCATTTTTCGATTATACGGTTGTGGCTTCTTTGTCAAAAGTTAAGCGTCCATAGGTGTGTGGGTTTATTTCTGGCTCTTCAACTTGAATCCATTGATCCACCAGTCTATTTCTATGCCAGTACCATACAGTTTTTATTATTTTTGCTATATAGTCACAGCTTGAGATTAGGGATGGAGACACCTCCAGAAGATCTTTATTGTACAGGATTTTTTAAAAAGCAATTCTGTTTTGGTTTGTTTGTTTGTCCTTATGAATATGAGAATTGTTATTTCAAGGTCTCTAAAGAATTGTACTGTTTCCCTAATTTTTCTTAGTTTAATTTTCTTTTGTATACAGGAAGGCTACTGATTTTTTTGAATTAATCTTCTACTGAGAAACTTTACTGAAGGTGGTTATCAGCTGTAGGACTTCCTTTGTGGAATTTTTGGCATCGCTTATGTATACTATCATATCATCTGTGAACAGTGATACTATGACTTCTTCCTTGCCGATTTGTATTCCCTTGATCTCCTCTAGTTGTCTTACTGCTTTAGCTAGAACTTCAAGTACTATGTTTCAAAGAAACAGAGAGAGTGGGAAGCATTGCCTTGTCCCTGATTTGAGTGGAACTGATTTAAAATTCATTTAATTTAATGTTGAATATAGTCTTATTGTATATTGCCTTTACTATGTTTGGGTCTTTAGTAGGTATGTGCTTTGTATCTCTCATTACTCCAAGACTTTAAACATGAATGGATGTTTGATTTTCTGAGCTGCTTTTATGGCAACTAAGGAGATGCCCAAGGTTTTTTGGTTTTTGTTTTTGTTTTTGTTTTTGTTTTTTTTCAGTTTGTTTCTATGGCAGATTACATTGATGAGTTTCCATATATAGAACAAGCTTTGCTTGTTTGGGAAGAAGCTTATTTAGTCATGGTGTATGATATTTTTGATGTATTCTTGCATTTGGTTTGTGAATATGTTATTGAGTATCTTTGCATCAATGTTCATAAGGAAAATTGGTCTAAGATTCATTTTATTTGTTGGGTCTTTGTATGGTTTGGCCATCACGGTGACTATGGTCTCAAAGAATGAGTTTGATAGTGTTCCTTATGTTTCTATAGTGTGGAATAGTTTGAAGAGTATTGGTATTAGCACTTCTTTGAAGGTCTGGTAGAATTCTGTGTTGAAACTATCTGGCCCTGGGCTTTTTTTGGATATGAGACTTTTGATGATTTTTTTTTCCTATTTTCTTAGGGGATTTAGGATGATGTAATTTGTTTACTTGATCTCAATTCAACTTTGTTCATTTTTTAATTGGAATCTATCAATAAAATTGTTCATTTCTTTTAGATTTTCAAATTTTGTGGCATATAGGCTTTTGATTACTAAGATCTAATTATTCTTTGGATATCCTCAGTGTTTATCATTATATCTCCCTATTTATTTCTGACTTTGCTGATTTTGCTAGTGTCTCTCTGCCTTTTAGTTAATTTGACCAAAGGTTTAACTATTTTGTTGATTTTCTCAAAGATCTGGGCTTCACTGCTTCTTTTAAATATTCTCTTTGTTTCAAATTTATTGATTGTAGCCCTGAGTTTGATTATTTCCGGCTGTCTCCTCCTCTTGGGTATGTCTGCTTCTTTTTCCCACCTTACAACATTCAGGTGTGCCATTAAGTTGCTTATATGAAATGTCTCCAATTTCTTTATGAAGGCGCTTAGTGCTATGAATATTCCTCTTTTTTTTTGTTTGATTTTTTGCATTTAAATGCATCTTTTAATATTTAAAGCATTCCTCCTTCTACTTATTTCTCAGTGAGTCCAACCATAGGCCATCACATTAACTCAAAATCTGATTGTTACAAATACATTTTTTTTCTTTTTTTCACATTTTTTTTATTAATTACACTTTATTCATTTTGTATACCCACATAAGCCCCTCCCTCCTCCCCTCCCAATCCTACCCTCCCTCCCCTTTCTGCATGCATGCCGCTCCCCAAGTCCACTGATAGGGGAGGTTTTCCTCTCCTTTCTGATCTTAGTCTATCAGTGCTCATCAAAAGTGGCTGCATTGTCCTCTACCGTGGCCTGGTAAGGCTGCTCCCCACTGAGGGGGAGGTGATCAAAGAGCAGGCCAATCAGATTATGTCAGAGGCAGTCACTCTTTCCATTACTATGTAACCCACTTGGACACTGAACTGCCAAGGGCTACATCTGTGCAGGGGTTCTAGGTTATCTCCACGAATAGTTCTTGGTTAGAGTATGAGTCTCTGGGAAGTTCCCTGTGTTCAATTTATCTTGTTCTGTTGCTCTGCTTTTCTATGTCCATATTTGAGTCTGTTATGCCTTCATTTTCATTGAATTCAAGGAAGTCTTCATTTATTTTTCTTTATTTCTTCCCTGACGCAGATGTTATTCAGTAGAGGGTTGTTTAATTTCCATGTGTGTGTAGGATTTTTGCTATTTCTGTTGTTCTTGAGGTCCAGCTTTAATCCACGATAATCTGATAGGATACAATTAGTGTGTTTGTATGCATGTCTACTTTTGGTTGCTGTAGTTATTTATATCCTGTGTTATTTTATGTGTAACTAATTTCCTCGGATGGGAGTTTTCCATGTAATATCTTCAGTAGGGCTAAATTAAGGGCATAGATATTGTTTTAATTTGGTTTTGTTGTGAAATAACTTCTTTTCTCCATCTTTTGACTGAAAGTTTTGCTGGGTATAGTAGTCTGGACTGGAATCTCTGTTCTCTTAGGGATTGCCAGATATCTGCCCAAGCCACTCTGGCTTTTACGGTTTCTGCTGAGAAGTCAGGTATGATTCTGATTGGTTTGATATGTTACTTGGGCTTTTTCCCTTGCAGCTTTTAGTATATTTTTAATTTATCCTGTATATTTACTGTTTCTGTTATTATGTGGCTGGAGGATCTTATTTTCTGGTCTAATCTATTAGGTATTCGGTAGGACTCTTGCATGCTTATAGGCACGTCTTTCTTAAGTTTGGAAAAATTTTCTTCTATGATTTTGTTGAAAATATTTTCTGGACCTTGGAGACAGAAATCTTTTCTTTCTTTTCTTCCAATTATTCCTAAGTTTCTTCTTTTTATGATGTTCTTGATTTCTTGGATGATTTGTGTCAGGAATATTTTGGATTTAATAATTTTTTAATGGATGCATTGATTTCTTCAATTGTGTCTTCTACACTTGAGTTTCTTTCCTCCGTCTCTTGTATTCTGTTTGTGATCTTACTTCTGTCGTTCCTCTTTTCTTACCTAAGTTCTTCCTCTCCAGGATGTCTTCAGTTTGTGCTTTCTTT